ACTAACAAATATATTAGCAGTACAAATCCTATTGCTTGAAGAAAATGACTACCTCATGCTGACAGCATTCATATCCAAGATTGCTGGCTGACCGGTATGTGGACAGGTCTCATCACAATATGAGATGGACACTGTTAGTTTACAGTGTAACGTAATGTCACATGGTTAGTTTACTGTTGTGTGAAAATGAAAAGGTAGGTGCTCTCCAGCGAATCTAGCTTACCAAGCAGTCTTACTATAAAATATTCCCCCTTGACTCCCTCACTTCCTGAGAAATCATCTCCCAAACAACCCATTTGAAACACTTATGTATCTTAGTTTTGATCACGGACTACTGTTAGATGAAAATTATACTTGTTGGGATTTCCCTGGTCGCGCAGTGGTTAAGAATCTGCCTGCCAATGCAGGGGACACAGGTTCGATCCCTGGTCCGGGAAGATCCCACATGCCGCAGAGCAGCCAAGCCCATGAGCCACAACTACTGAGCCCACGTGCCACAACTCCTGAAGCCCATGCTCTGCAACAAGAGAAGCCACCACAATGTGAAGCCCACGCACCACAACGAAGAGTAGCCCCCACTCGCCACAACTAGAGAAAGCCTGCACACAGCAACGAAGACTCAACGCAGCCAAAAAATAAATTTAAAAAAAAAGTTTAAAAAAAAAGAACAAGAAAACTACAGTTGTTTAGAGAGATCTTTTTCTCACTTTTGCATGTCACCTTTCATTTTTGCTATTATCCACAATCACATCTTCAAGCATCTACCTTGTCTACTGTTACAGACTGGATGTTTGTCTCCCTCTAAATTCATATGTTGAAGCCCTAACCCTCAGTGTGATGGTGTTAGGAGGCAGGGCCTTTGGGAGGTAATTAGCTTTAGATGAGGTCATAAGGGTGGGGCCCCATGATGGAATTAGTGCCTTTATAAGAAGACAAAGAGGCACTAGAACTTCTTTTTGGACACATGAGGTTAGAGGAGAAGGCAGATGTCTGTAAACCAGGAAGAGGGTCCTTCTTCCCCAAGAACCAAATCTGCTGGCACCTTCATCTTGGACTTCCAGCCTCCAGAACTGTGAGAAGTAAATGTCTGTTGTTTAAGCCACGAGTCTATGGTATTGGGTTGGTCAAAAATTTTCACTAGGGTTTTTTTCCTTAAGATGTTAACGGAAAAACCAGAACAAACTTTTTGGCCGACCCAATATTTTGTTATAGCAGCCCTACCAGACTAAGACACCCACTCTTCATGTTCTGTTCTAACTAACCAATTTTACTGAGTCTCCTGACCAGTGTCCAGCTGACAACACATGCTGACTTAATAATGTCATAATCCTGTTGAACTTATCATCTCTTAAGAAGAAAAAAGTTACCATGCATCACAATTCTCAGAGGATATATCCTCCCTGGCCTATTTCCATATTTCCACAGCCTTGTTAACCATCCCCAGAGGACCTTAAGATCAAGTTCCAAAACAAGTCTTAAGGGGGTTGTGTAGCTAGACATTCATTCATTTGGAGACAAATGTTCTTGCAGATTGGTGGCCATTCTGCTGATTGTTTGATTTTAATACTTCCACGTGAATATATCTAAAAAGCTTATGCAAAATCACATGTTCTTTATGTCCTATACATGTGAAGTGTCCCATGACCATCATTTTGGGATAGCAGATATTCAATTCTCTTGCCTTTTGTGGTTCTCTCCCTAATTGCTTTGTGAGCTAACTTAAATACTTTCTTTGATATTTATGTTATTAGAATATAGATTTCTCTTAATTTTTACTTACAAACATGTCAAATACAGCTCCATGTTTAAATATAGCTATATTAGTTTATTGTACTCTTAATTATGTGCTAGGCACTATTATTTGTTTTACTTAGACTATCTCATTTAATCCTTCAAACAGTCCTAAGAGATAGATGTTATCCCCATATTAGAAAGAAACAGAAGTTTGGTGAAGCTAATTAATTTGGCCAAAGTCACATGGCAGAGCTAGGGTTATGACTATCTCCAAAGCTCCTGTTTCAACAGCTACTTTATGATGTCCCTCAATCTATAATCCCTGGAATGCCTCCTTTTGCAGATGAAGGGACTAAGGCTTAATGAGGTAACTTTCTCACATTTACATACTGACTAGGTATAGAGCTCGGATCCAAATCCTGATTTTATGACTCAAGATTCCAGTGCTCTTTCACTTTCAGCGTTCCCCATACCCCAGGTAAACTTTATTCTTTGTGACTTATAAAGTATTTCCCCCAAACCTGTTGCACCGGATGCTTAAAGCTGTACTCTAGGTTAGACACAGGGATTGTGCCTCCCTTGTTTTTAGATGATGAAACGAACTTGGGTTAAAAGAATTGCCTTTGTTTAAAATCAAGTGAGCAAATCTTTTGATCTTTAACCCAACACTTTCAACATAGCCTTCCCTACATAAAAGGTGTAAAAGGCAAAGCTTTTTATACATTTTGTGTAGGG